CCAGAGGGGCAGGAGGAAAACCAAGAGGGACCCAGAAAGGACAGTGTTTCAGGAAGCATGGAGTCATCGGTTATATCAAATGCCACTGAGAGAAGAAAGATGTGGCTCTACATCAGAGAAGCTGTACTTGAACTTGCCAGAGTGCTTTTGGTGGAGTGTGGGGACAGGTGTCGAAGTGAGGAGAAGCCGAAGTGGAGGTAGTGTGTGCAGACAATTCTTTCAAGACATTGGGGGGTGGAATAGCACCGTGGCCAGGGACAGAGGAGGTGATTTCAAGGGATTTATTTGTATAGAATGGGTGACATATGAGCACATTTGTGCTGTTAACTGGGGTCTGACAGTGAGAGATTAATGATCCCAGAGAGACAGGGACAGTGACTCACAGAGGGAAGCCCCCCCAAAAGAAGGGAGTATATGAGGTTGTGTGTAAAGGCATGGCTCAGACCAGCCAAAAAGCGTAACTTTGCAACAGCTCAGACCCAAGGCCCAGGAGCTCCACTGCAGAAGGAACAGCCACACTGTTCCAGGGTGGCCACTGTTGCTTAGCAACCTGTGTTTAATAAGATGTTTCAACTGAATTCCTAATTAACCGCCATTTCAACTTATGCTAACAGTTTCTGTCACTGTGGGGTCCTGCCTCAGCTTCCTTCCCTCCCCCAAAGCCTGGTAATTTTGTTTCTTTTGTTGAAATGTGTGAAACTGGAAAGCTCCAGTTTCCGCTTTCCTCTACTGTTAATGATATATGCATTGAGATGTGAAAAATAATACATCACAGAGAAGATGGATTTAGGGACTCTCATTCTATCTTAAAGGGAGGTTGTCAAAAATTGCAGGATTTACATCTCCAGGTCAGGGCTCTCTGGTGAGCTCCAGCTGCCTTCTTGCCCTCTTGGAGGCATGCTAGACCAAGCAGAATTCTTAATTCCCTCTATTCAGCCACCCAAACTCCCTTATTCCTTGTACAGTTTTTAACGACTACAGAACATGGTCCCACCGTCTACCCATCTGACAGGTTTGCCCAGGGTCATTCTGGATTCCTCCTCTTCCAAACCTACTCCATACAATTAATTACTGCCTCCAACATATTTCTCAAATTCTTCTACTTTTCTGCATGCCTTCTAAGTCTGCCTTGGTCCAAGCCACCATCGTCCTTCCCTTGGATCAGTCCAGGAGCCTTCTAACTGGTCTCCCTGCTGCTTCTCTTGACCCACCTCCAATCCATTCTCCACACAGCACCCAGCGAGTGAGCTCTTAAAACATAATCTGAACCATTTACTCCCCTCCTTAAAACCTTTAAAGCTTTCCCATTATATTCTCCTGCCAACTGGAGCTGTTCACCTCCCTCTCTAAATTCTGTGTCTGTGCCTGGAATGACCTTTCCCCAGCAACTCTCTTCTCCTAACTGGCTCCTTCTCATCCTGCAAGTAAGGCCTTCTCCCCACACCCCCTCTGCAGGTGCTCACTTCCCTATTCTCCATCACAGTGCCCTGCTAATTTCCTTCTCAGTTGGAACTAGATGTTTGTTCAGTTTCCACTATCTCCCTGCAGGAGGCAGTAAACTCCATGAGGACAGAGCTGTTCACCTCTTACTCCTCAAGTGTCCAGTGTGGTCCCAGGCACAAAGTAGGCACTAAATAAGTATATGATGAATAAGTTGATTTGTTTGCCAGGAGCAGATTCTCTGTCTGTGAGATTCATGGCTGTGCATTTATAAAATTATAAAAGTTTAAGCAACTCACAGAAGTTATTCTTCTAGGTAGGTTTACTCTTCTAGTTGCTGCCACCTAGCATCTAATAGGATGAAAATAACTACCATTTACTCTTCCCTGTATGTGGCAGGCACTGCACATTTATTATTTCTAATTCTTACAAAAACCCAATGAGGTGGTCTTACTCCTATTTTACAAATTAAAACTCCGGGCTGTATATCCGAAAAAAAACGAAAACACTAATTCAAGAAGGTACATGCACCCCAACGTTCATCACAGCATTATTTACAATAGCCAAGAAATGGAAGCAACCTAATTATCCAGCAACAGATAAATGGATAAAGAAGATGGGGTATATGTATACAATGGAATATGACCCAGGCATAAAAAAGAATGAAATTTTGCAATTTGCAATAATATGGATGGACTTGGAGGGTATTATGCTAAGTGAAATAAGTCAGACAGAGAAAAACAAATACTGTATGATATCACTTATATATGGAATCTAAAAAATAAACTAGTGAATACAACAAAAAAGAAAGAGACTCGGGGGACTTCACTGGTGGTGCAGTGGTTAAGAATCCGCCTGCCAAAGCAGGGGACACGGGTTCAAGCCCTGGTCCTGGAGAATCCCACATGCCGCGGAGCAACTAAGCCCATGCGCCACAACTACTGAGCCTGTGCTCTAGAACCCGCGAACCACAACTACTGAAGCCCACGCTCTAGGGCCTGTGCTTCGCAACAAGAGAAGCCACCGCAATGAGAAGCACACACACCGCAACGAAGAGTAGCCCCCGCTCGCCACAACTAGAGGAAGCCCGCGTGCAGCAACGAAGACCCAACACAGCCAAAAGTAAATAAATAAATTTATAAAAAAAAAAAGGGGGGCTTCCCTGGTGGCGCAGTGGTTGAGAGTCTGCCTGCCGATGCGGGGGACACGGGTTCGTGCCCTGGTCCGGGAAGATCCCATATGCTGTGGAGAGGCTGGGCCCGTGAGCCATGGCTGCTGAGCCTGCGTGTCCGGAGCCTGTGCTCCGCAACGGGAGAGGCCACAACAGTGAGAGGCCCGCAAGAAAGAGACTCAGATATAGAGAAACAACTAGTGGTTACAAGTGGGGAGAGGAAAGGGGGGAGGGGCAAACTACTATGTACAGATAAATAAGCTACAAGGATATATTGTATAATATAGGAAATTAGCCAATATTTTGTAATAACTATAAATGGAATATAACCTTTGAAAATTGTGAATTACTATGTCATACATCTGAAAATTATATAACATTGTACATCAACTATACCTCAATTTTAAAAAAATCTTTGATGAAGAAACAGGGAGAAAAAAGCAGCAGCCTGTTGTAATCCTTGAAGTCTCATTAACTAGCTCTTTAGTCTTTGAGCACTTAGTGTATGCTAGGCTCTGTTCTTGGCTCTGGAAATACAGCAGAGAACAAGACAGACTTAAGTCCCAGCCCTCATGAGGCTTACATTCCAGTGGCAGGAGATAGGCAATAAACAAGTAAACTAATGAATGAAAGCATTTCAGACAGAAACAAGTACTACAAAGGACTGTAAAATGGGGGAAGAGATACAGAGTGAGGGGAGGGAACAACTACTTTAAATAAGGTCCCAGACGAGGTGCCTTTGAGCTGAAATCTAAAAAGATGAAGATCCATCCATGAGAAGAGCCATGGAAAGAATATTGCATACACGTGGAACAGCAAGTGTAAAGGCCCTGAGGCCAACTCAAGCTTGGCAGTCAAAAAACTGAAAGAAGAGGTGAGTGGATGGATGCAGCGAAAGGTAGAGAGGATGGTACAAGAGGAGGTTGAAAAGAAAGCTGGGGCCAGGTTATTGTCGATTGTTTGGATTTCATTCAAAGTGCAAGGGGAAGCTATTAGGGGTTTTAAGCAAGAGAATGAACATGATCTGGTTTGTGATTTTAAAAGATCACCTGCCTGGATTAAAGAAGATGAAGATTCAAACTAAGAAACTAGTTGGAGGGCTGCTGCAGTGGACCAGTGGCTTGTATTAGGGTGGTAGAGGTGGAGAAATACAGGATACATTTTGGAGGTAGAAGAACCAACAGGGACTTCCCTGGTGATCCAGTGGTTAAGACTCCACGCTCCCAATTCAGGGGGCCCGGGTTCTATCCCTGGTCAGGGAACTAGATCCCACATGCCATAACTAAAGATCCACATGCCATAATGAAGATCCAGCGTGCCGCAACTAAGACCCGGTGCACCCAAATAAATATTTTAAAAAAAGAACCAACAGTTTCTGTGGATAGCACAGATATGGGGTTGGAGGTAGAAAGGGTTGAAGAAACGAAAGAAATCAGGAAAGACTTTCACATATATCTGGTGGACCTCAAATTTAGAAACATTTAATATATGTTGAGCCCCACTTATTACAGTTAGATTCTCAGTTAGAGTACAGCATAGCATAGGGAAAGAATTTGGACTAAATCTTAAAGTCCAATCCTGTGTGATGTTAGAAAGTGTCTAAACCCAAAGAGCCACCGTTTCCTCATCGTCCTCTTTTTCTTTTCCCCCCCTTTTTGGCCGCACTGTAGAATGTGGAACTTCCTGTACCAGGGATCGAACCCGTACCCCTGCAGTGGAAGCAGAGAGTCTTAGCCACTGGCCACCAGGGAAGTCCATCCTCATCTTTAAAAGGGTGATTGATTATCTCTGATTTGAGATGTTTGTAAAGCTCTACGACAGCACCTAGAACTCCGAGTGTGTAAGGAGGTTGTGGGAAATCCAAGAGGAAAGAGGCAGAGAGCCACGTATCTGAGTTTTTTTTCAGGAGATGGTGATGTAAGAGGTAGTTTTGCAGGATTTTGAGCATGCGGGACATTTACAGCATTGAGCATAAGAGTATTCCAGTTTCTGCCTGAACCGGAAAAGAGTCTCTCTGCTAGCATCCCCGCCCTAGGGCACCTTAAATTTCTGATCAGGGAGAGTCCGAGGTTATTCCTGGCGCCTGGACAGTACCTATCTTAGGTAATCAATAACTTTAATGAAGAATGGGGTTGGAGTGATAGCAAGAGGTTGGCGTGGAGAAACGAGAACTGTCCGCGCGAGCCGCCGCAGCTCTGAGGCCGGGGGAAATTTTCACGTCGCTATAGCAACGCCCCCTCCCACTTCAAGCGCACCCAAGGGGGAACTACAAGTCCCATAAGGTCCGCGGCTTCCCCCTCTCCCGGGGAGGAGGGGCACAGGGGAGCGCCGAACCGGCTTTACCTCTTTCCTGCAGCGTGATTGGCCCGCGGCTCTGGGAGGCGGCCAATGAGTGCGCTCGGGGAGAGCAGCGAGGCCAATATGGCTTCCCGCACCTGGTGACGGTTGAAGAAACTGTTAGTCTCATGGAGAAGACCCGGGGCGTCGAGGTGAGAGGGAGAGGAATTCTCGTGACTGGGAAAGGGAACCCCGAGAGCTCCGCTCGGTGGGCCCTTCTTTAGGCCTTTGAGCGACGCCTGGAGGGTGGAGGGTGGAAGGATGGATAAACAGGCAGTTAGGCTGAGCAGGGCCCGAGGCGATTGGCGTTGCTTTTTGCTCCGGTTCTGCTGGGGCCGAGTAGTTGAGGGAGGAACAGCCTCCCTGGCCTGGGGAAGGGGAATTGGGTTCAGAATCTGAGAGCTCCTGAATCTTCCTCCTCCTCCTTGTCTCATGGTGGTGTCCTTTAGGGACTATGAGGCCTGTCACATCCTGGTGGGAAGTAAGGGATGATTAAAGTTTAATAAACCCTCCGTGTCCGGAGCGTTCACGTGCATTATCTCCCAGTATACTCAACAGCCCAGTGTCTCGTTTTTGCGGTTCAGGTAGCTGAGGCCCGGAGGGGTGGTGCGACTCCCCAGGAGGGTCACAGGACTGTAAAGTGAAGGAGATGGGCACTAAGTACCTCAAGTTCCAAAACTCTACCAGGTTTGCTTTTTCCACTCTACCACCACCTGTGACCCACGCATCCTTTAATCATTTGGTTTCTGGTCACCTTATATTTGAATTTCCTTTCTAGCACATTTGCATGTGTAGTTGTAAATGTAAAGTGGAATCGCTCAAAAACTCTATAAGGGTAAAGGAAAAGAATCATACAGTTGGAGAGTAAGAATGACAGCTCACAGTTTTAGAGCTGTCACTAACTGCTGGAAATGGAACTAGGCTTTGCATGTCATATCAGTATTTACAGCAGTCCTCTAAAGAGGGCTTGTTATTATCTCCATTGTACTGATGGAGAAACCAGGAGCAGTAAGGTTAAATATCTTGCACAAAATCACACAGGTAGTAAGTGGAAGATCCTGGATTCAAACTCAGGTGTACCTGGTTTGAGAGCCCATGCTTTTAACCAGTAATAATCGCCAACATTTATTGAGCACATACTGTGTGCAACTCACTGCTCTGAGTGCCTTGCCCATATTAACCCTTACTTCTCCCCCAAAGCCTATGTAATAGGTGGAATTGTCCTCATTTACAGGTGCGGAAATTGAGGCATTGAGATTGACCTGCTGCAGGTCATACGGTAGGGATGGTAGTAACTAGTAAGCAGTGGGGATGGTATTGGAGCCCTGGCCTAGAGCCCAAATTCTTCACACCTTTTCTACAACATGCCAGGTAGATTTATATACAGTATCTCATTTACATTCCACTTCCTGGAGCCAAATACTTTTCTTGTTTTATAGATGAGAAAATTGAGACCCAGAGAGGTTAAATGACATGCCCAAGGACCCACAGCTAGTTAGGATCAGAGCTGAGTCCAAAGCTATTGTATATACCACAGTGCTATAGCTAGCGTGTCATTAGCCTCTGAAATCCTCTTTAGGGCAGTCTGGGCCCCAAATTAACTTTTGTCTGACTTAAGTTGTTTTTGAGTTGAAATTACTTTGGTGTACATATGCTGAAGGGGGAAGAATGAGTTTCTAAAATACATCTTCCCCAGAAAGTCTTCATGAGGCACTTTGCTTAGGATATTTTCACATCAGTGTATTCTGTTTGAATTATGGTAAAATGTCATCACTTATAAATCCACAGAGGGACCTTGGTGAATTCCTAATACATGTTTTCTGTCTTGCTAAGGTATTCTTTTTTTTTTTTATTTTTGGCTTCATTGGGTCTTCACTGCTGAGCGCTGGCTTTCTCTAGTTGTGGCGAGTGGGGGCTACTCTTCGTTGTGGTGCCCAGGCTTCTCATTGCGGTGGCTTCTCTTATTGCGGAGCACGGGCTCCAGGCGCACGGTCTTCAGTAGTTGTGGCTTGTGGGCTCTAGAGCGCAGGCTCAGTAGTTGTGGTGCACGGGCTTAGTTGCTCTGCGGCATGTGGGATCTTCCTGGACTAGGGCTCGAACCCATGTCCCCTTCATTGGCAGGCGGATTCTTAACCACTGTACCGCCAGGGAAGCCCCTAAGGTATTCTTTTGATTTGCAGTTGAGAAATGTATAAACAAGAGTAATGATCCAGGTGTTTGCAAAAGGAGTATTTGATTCTGCCTGCCACTTGGCCCAAAAGTGTTGACTTGACCAAGAACTGGAAAGGGAGTTGATAGCAGATCTGCAGCTTCCCTTCCCATACACTAAGCCAACCATAATTCCTTCTGCCTGCTTTTGTGTCACTAGGAGACTTCAGAACCAATGGAGGAGGAAGAGGAAGATGATGACTTGGAGCTCTTTGGTGGCTACGACAGTTTCCGGAGTTATAACAGCAGTGCGGGCAGTGAGAGCAGCTCCTACCTCGAGGAGTCAAGTGAAGCAGAAAATGAGGATCGGGAAGCAGGGGAGCTGCCCACCTCCCCCTTGCATTTGCTTAGCCCTGGGACTCCCCGCTCCATGGATGGCAGTGGTTCTGAGCCAGGTGCCTTCAGAGTGTCCCCTGAAGAGGGGGAGGTTTCAGAGGCTGTGGAGGAAGAGGGGGATATAGGCCAGGTGGGCAGAGCTGTCCAGGTGTGAAGGGCCCTTTGATCTGATGTCTAAGGCCCTAGGAGAGAGCAGAGGCACCCCAAGTATCCCCAAGGGTCATTTCCTCTGCTGCAGTCTGATTTCAAATTGTGATTTCATTCTTTCTTATAATTAATATTTATTCAGCACATATTAGATGCCAGTCATTAACATGGTGCTGCTTTTGCGATTGTCCTGTTCTCTAGATATTGAGAATATAGGACACCTAAAGTGATCTGGTTACTATCTGGGAAGGGACAAGAAATAGCTTGTGGGTTGGAAGTGAGAGGGGGGAAAATACAGAATAAAGTGACCTCCGGGTTAGAGGGTTAGGGTAGGGGTGGGCAGTTGAGAATCCCTGTGAATCATCTGGAAGACAGTTGGCTTCAGAGATGTGATGCTTACACAGCTCCTGGACCCCTGTGTCAGGGCCTCCAGTGTGGGGACTGCCTGTGATGATGGGGAGGCCAGATGGTCCGTGATGACATTTCTGTCCCCTGGTCCCTTTACTCTTTAGGAGAGGAGAATCTAATACTCTTTGCCACTTGTTTCCTTTCCATTCATCCTGTCTTCTCTTCCTTTCTCCCCTTTCTTTTATCTTTCTCCCTTCTATCTTCTTCTAACCATTCTCTTAGAATCTTAGAACTTTAGAACTGGAACGAACTATTAGAGACCATCTGGTCCAGGGATGCTATCGCCTGGCTGCACATTAGAATCACCTGGGGAACTCTGAACGAACCACAGATGCCTGTGTCCCACCACAGACCAGTTAATTAGAATCAGGCTTGGGCATTTTTTTTTTTTTTTTTTTGCGGTACGCGGGCCTCTCCCGTTGCGGAGCACAGGCTCCGGACGCGCAGGCGCAGCAGCCATGGCCCATGGGCCCAGCCGCTCCACGGCATGTGGGATCCTCCCGACCAGGGCACGAACCCGTGTCCCCTGCATCGGCAGGCGGACTGTCAACCACTGCGCCACCAGGGAAACCCAGGCTTGGGCATTTTTAAACGCTCCTCAAATGACTCTGATGTGATACCAGGGATGAAACATTGATCTAGTTCAGTCTCTTTATAGATGAGAAAAAAGTAGGCCCACGGAAGTTAAATGATATGGGTACGTTTTTTCTTCTCATTTTCCTCTTTGCAAACTTTCCAACACTCACCTGTTTCCCCAGTCATCCTCATGGATTTTCCTTAGCCCCACCATTGACACATATAGCCAAGGGGTGCTAAGGAGCTTTAGGTGTACACACCCAAACCTTCTATTCCAGTTCTGTCAGCCTTAGGGGGCCTGGGACTCACCTGATTAATGCAGTGCCCCAGGTTTTGAAGGGCCCATCATTTTGTTTGATTTGGAGTGACGATCAAGGGAGTCATGTGCTAAGTTCTCTTCCCAGCTGTCTGTGAGATGTGTGGTATCGTGGGTACGAGGGAAGCCTTCTTCTCCAAGACCAAGAGATTCTGCAGCGTCTCCTGTTCTAGGAGCTACTCCTCCAACTCCAAGAAAGCCAGTATCTTGGCTAGATTACAGGTGAGAGGCCATCACTTGGAAGACCCTTCCTGGGGCCGTGGGCGCTGAGACAGGAACAATCAGCAGACTGGCCTTGTGTTTTCACAGCACCGGTTCTCAAACTTGACTGCACGTTGGGGTCACCTGCAAACCTTAAAAAATATTGATGCTTGGGTCTTACTCGCAAAGATTCTGATTTAATTGGGGCTGAGTGTAGCCTGGACACAGGGCCTTTAACGAGCTCCCCGGGTGATTGTCCTGTGAAGCGTGAGGGTTGCAGTGCCCGCTCTTCTGCTTAGTGCCTCATACCCTCTATCTCTCTGTGAGACAGTTACTATTATGTCCCTCATTTTGCAGATTTTAGTCAAGGCATAGAAAAGTCCTTCTCAGTGAGCTAATAATGGTATTGTTTATAACTATAGTTTGGGGATACTTGGTATGGGCTTGGCACTCTCAGTCCAACCAGTGATCCCTAAAAAATGAATTTTTAAAGATTCCGATTTTAAGGGCTCAAAAATTTTTACTAACTTACTTAGAGGTACACAAATAAAATTGAAGAGCCAGGGTTTGGACCCAGGTCTCTGGAATTTAAACCCAAATTAAAAAAAAAAATTTTGGCCATGCCTCACAGCTTGCAAGATCTCAGTTCCCCAACCAGAGATTGAACCAGTGAAAGCGCCAAACCCTAACTACTAGACTGCCAGGGAACTCCCTCAATCCACATTTCTATCTCACCGATCTCTTTAATAAATTCTCTGGGCCTTTCTGATCAGTACTTAAGTTACAAATTACAGACCAGATCAGTGGCCTTTCACTTTGGGGGAGGATGCCTTTGAGCACCCGATAAGCTATGGACTCTCTCTAGAACATTCATGTATGTTCTAGAGCGAGTCCATGGTTCAGTTCACGAGCCCTTTGAAGCCCATTCTCTGCCATAAGTTTGTAGGAGCATCAAAGGAAGGAGATGGCTGAGAGTTGACGACACCAAGAAGAGGTTCCTGGCAGAGGCGGGGCTTAAAAGATAGTAAAAGTGCCCCTCCCTGCGTGTGGCTCTGCCAATCCCCACCCCCTCTCTAGCTGAACAATAGCTAAGTGTGGGCAACCCCCATCCTTGCAACTCCCCTCTGAGCTAAGCATTATCATTGTTATCATCTTGATTTACAAATGAAGAAACTGAAGTCCCAAAGAGGTTAACTGGAGTGATGCCTGTTTTAAACGTGTCCAAATCCAGAGCCTTGTTCTTAGCCTTTAGGCTACACACCCTCTCCTCCCTCCAGGGAAAACCACCTACCAAGAAGGCCAAAGTCCTGCACAAAGCTGCCTGGTCTGCCAAAATTGGAGCCTTCCTCCATTCCCAAGGGACAGGACAACTCGCAGATGGGACACCAACAGGGCAGGACGGTAAGACTGCAGGGACCGGTGCTCAGGAAGCAGGTTGGGTGCAGTGCCAGGACTGGGGTGGCCTCCCAAGGAGCGAGGATTGGAAAAGGTGGCCAGCTAGAAAGCGCCGGCCCAGGCTTGCTTTGGATTGTATCTTCCTCACCTGGTAATTGTGAAATTACCCCAGAAGATCCCTCAATCACTCTTAAATTGCCAAGACCCCTACTCTTGATAATTTAAAAGCCGAGGATTAGCTTCTTTTGTTTTGCGTTGCCTTTAGCTCTCTGGCTTCTGTTTCCCTGGGGCAGTGGAGACCCAGATCTTGTTTGAAGAAGGGTGATGGGATAAGGGAGGAACCTTTCTCTCTTTCTGAGCTTGCGTAGCTATTTCTGAGCAAATGTAGGCATGAAGCAACTGCGCTAGATGCTCTGAGTGTCTGACCGATATTGAGCCCCCAGGCTCAAGGGTTGGAGGGGCCTAGGTGTGTGCACCTCCCACCCATTGAGATTGGCTGTGGCCAATGAGAGGTTGGGGGCGGTCTGAGGAATTTAAGCCCAAGGGTCTTTGAATTTCCGTCTTTCTCTGGGGAAGGAAGACCAGACATATTTCCCTCTGAGTGTTTCCTCTACTCCTAAGAGTCTGGCAGCCTTTGGATAAGGCCCTCCGCCGTCCTGATGGCCGCTGCTGGGGCAGGTATGGGGTGAGGAAGGGACCTGCTGCCCCCGCCCCTCCGGCCCGGGGTCCTGGAATGGCTGCTGCCGGAGCTCCCAGCTTCGACCCTTTAACCCTCTCCATCTTTGCCCCGCAGCGCTGGTCTTGGGTTTCGACTGGGGGAAGTTCCTGAAGGATCACAGTTACAAGGCTGCTCCTGTCAGCTGCTTTAAACACGTGAGTGCCCTGGGGATGAGGGGAGGGCGGGCAGGGTCCTGAGTACTGCCACCATCTCACCCACCTGCCTCGCAACGTCGGCGCCGGGAGAGAACAGGGTGAGGTCTGGGTGCTCGAAGCCCAGCTTTGCCGCTCCCTCCAGCTTACCTTTCTGTCCACTTTTTCAGAAAGTCCTCCCACAGGCCCTCAATGCGAGCTTCTAGCCCCTCGGAGGTTCCCCACTTCGCTTATTTACATAATGGCACTTTGTGCTTTGATATCCAGAAGCAAACTTTGAGAATCTCTTTCTCCTTTTCCCCCATTTTTAGTGCTTTCGCGTTGAAAGCTTGGTGCTGTGAACTGCCCTGGGCCCCTTGGTCCCGGGAGGCCAATGTGGATGCCTCCTGGAGCCCCTTCATCTAAAGGCTCCCCGACTCCCTGTCACTGAGAAACAGCAAAGGCTGAGACCTGGAGGGCTGGGCTTGGAGCCGAAGAACTTAGCAGGCAGGCCTGAGCGGTGGTCTCCTGCAGGCGCAGAGAGAAACCGAGGGAGCTCTCTTGTCTTTCAAGCCAATTTCCTAAACCCGGGAAATCCAGGAGGAGGCCTCTTTAAACCCACTTCCTAGCCTCTAATTTCTGAGCTGCTACTGAACTCTGGGGAGGCTGCTGATCAGGAGAAGGTTGGCACTCGATGCAGCTTAACTCCTCCTCTCCTGTCTGGGTGCTAGTGAAGGTGCACGTCTTTCCCAGTGGGGGGAGCTCTTTATTTCCTGAATTCTCTAGCAGTTCAGGCATTTCATTGCGGGGAGTTGCATCATACTTGCACTAATATATCTGCCTCGATATGCTCTGTAAAAAGCCCACCTGAACGTGCCTGAGCAGTATAACTGTTTCGGGGTTCTGTGATGAACCCAGTCCCTCCGGCCAGGGAGATGGAATGGGATACACTGATTGGCTGAAACCAGGGCTGAGAAGGAAAAAAGGAGAATCTCCCTAAAGGAGAACCAAAGTGCCACTGGCAGCAAAGTAAGGATTAGATACTGGGGAGGCAGCCCCAAGCAGTCCAGTGCTGTCGGGGGCATGTTAACAGGAGGAGGAGAGGTGGAGAAAGGATGTGCCAGAGCGGTGGGTGGGCAGCCGGCTCTGTGAGAGCCAGCCTGGCGACAGCTGTGAGACCAGGGGTCGTGGTCCTAACGGCCCAGGTGGAGTGACGACTGGAAGAGGTGCTATTTGTGCCGAGAATGGCACCTGGCACGTGGTGAGGGTGAGAAACTGTTAGGCGTCGTGACTGTCACGCAGGCTGGCGCAGCCATGGTGTGCCCATGAGGATAGCAGCCAGGAGCGGCCCTGGAGAGCTTAGCACCCAGGACCATCTGACTCTGGGTCTCTGCCCAGCCCCACCACCACGTCTTGCCCGTCTCTTCATCCCTGGTCCCCGGCCTGGCCTTCCACACACAAGGAGTGAGGGGCAATGCTGAGGGGCGAAGGAGGAAGGACGCAGACTCTCGCGAGGCCCCTCAGCCAGCTGCTCTCCTCTGCCAGCCCAGGTGGCTCACTGTCCCCCTTATAGGTCCCACTCTATGACCAGTGGGAGGATGTGATGAAGGGGATGAAGGTGGAGGTGCTCAACAGCGATGCTGTGCTCCCCAGCCGTGTGTACTGGATCGCCTCGGTCATCCAGGCGGCAGGTGGGTATTCCTCCGGCCGAGGCAGGGTCGGGCTGGGCAGTGACATCTCCAGATGGACAGGCAGTGGTGGAGCAGAAATCAGCCTCATAAAACAAACACAAAAACCCACCTGCTGGAGTTTCTGCCTCCCTCCTTGCTGTTCTTTTATCTTGCCTACCTTAGAGGGGACCACAGAGCTTGGCGAGTTTGGAAACTCCCATCTTTTAAGTTCATTCCAGGGTTGATCAGGCTATAGAAAATTATTCTTCCTCCTGTGCTGTACTGCTTTCTGAGTACGTGGTGTGGGTTTGTTTTTACTCTGGCTGTTGTGGAAGGAGTTCTTGAAATAGGCAGCACAAGTCCTGTTTAGGCTGGAGAAGAGCGAAGGCCTAAGAGCACACCACTCCCTCCTCCTTCTCAGGGTACCGGGTGCTGCTCCGGTATGAAGGCTTTGAAAATGACGCCAGCCATGACTTCTGGTGCAACCTGGGGACTGTGGATGTCCACCCCATCGGCTGGTGTGCCATCAACAGCAAGATCCTGGTGCCCCCGCGGAGTGAGTTGATGAGAACGTTCCCTGTCCTGGTTCCTGTGGGGCCCTTGGGAGCAGTTAGACCAGAACAAGGCCCACCTGCCTCCTTGCTTCCTGTCCTGCCTTGTCCCAGAGGCCCTGTGGCAGGTCCAAGTTGGGGGAGTCCGGTTTTATAAGATGGTGATTGCTGGCCTGAAAAGGCAGAAATAAGTTATTTAGGCCCCTCTGCTGCTCTCTGGGGCAGCTTTGGTGCCCCATCAGTGGGAGTGTTGTCAGTCTGTACTCAGGGTTCTGCTCTGTCTCTGCAGCCATTCATGCCAAGTTCACCGATTGGAAGGGCTACCTCATGAAACGGTTGGTGGGCTCCAGGACGCTTCCCGTGGATTTCCATATCAAGGTCTGGCAGTGAGCCCTGTGGGTCTCCTAACTGATCTCCTTCCTGCCCCTATCCCGTTTGATCTGTCCTTTGTGCTATTCACTGGAGTATTTTTTCTAAGACTCCCTTGCTTAGCAATCTTAGTGGCTCCAGATTTCCTAAGGATGGATGGTGGGTGTCGTCTGCCTTCCCAGCCTAAGAGCCTCCTCCCTGCTCAGACGCATCGATCATGTTGCTTTGTCTGCCATTTCTTCTTCTAGATCCTCACCTTTGCTCATAGCATTTTCAGGAGAGTTCATTCAATAGATTTTATTAAGTACTTGTTGTATACAAGGCACTGGAAATATGGAGAATGTGGACCCTGCCATCTGGGACCGTCCAGTCTGGCAGAGGAAATGAAGTCACACCCATGAAAAATTATAAAATAGCCTTGATTTTTGTACCAGAGATGTGCCTCAAAATCATCTGTGTGGCATTTAATTTTTAAAAATTATTTAGTTCTTTAACATAAAAAATCATACACATGGTAAAAATTCAAAGGGATCACAAGGATATGCAGTGAAGACTTAGTCTCTTCCCCCTTTGTGTGCCAGGGCTGCTGTTGTGCAGCTCGCTCACATAGGTGCCTGGGCCACATCTAGGGTCTCTGGGGCCCCTGACCCGGATGCCCACACGTGTTGTTCTCATGTTGCTTGGGTAAGCATCACAGCAGCAAGCCAAGGGGATGCAGGGCAGGTACCACCGTGACATGTGGTTGAACTGGCCTTGTGGCCTCAGGACGAGCAGGTATTGAGGGAGGCTTTGTGGAGAAGATGGCATTTGAATTCTACCTTTATGGGTAGGATGTGGGCAGGCATGGAAGCCAGCGGTGGAAAATCAGATGGGAGGGTAGTTGGGGCCATCTCACCCAAGGCCCCGGATGCCTGGTGAGAACATTGGCGCCGTGGGCCTTAGCTGGTCTTCAATGAGTAATGGTTCCAAGCACCTCAAAAACAGTTTTTCCCTTATTTGAACGTACTGGGTAGTGCTCATTTGCTATTCATCTCTCTATATTTTGTTAATTATCATAGTCTTTTCCACAAAACTGCAAGCTTTTTCTCCTGTATTTCCCATAGTACCTTGCACAGTGGACAGGGTTGGCGACTGAAGATGAGCTGGCCCTAGTGTTAGGATGAGGCAAGTGGCTGTGTGCAGGCCACCAGGATTGTCAAGGTGGCCTCATCTCTGCTTAAATTAAAAAGAGCTTGATTCTGGGTGGCAGAGCAGGGCTCTGCGTGAACAGTCAGCAAGCACACACTAGCTGTCACGTGCCCAGTCCCTGCAGGGCATGCGTGCAAAAGCAGCTGCCTCTGAAGATTGCGGGGTGGAGAGGAGAGGAGGGGTGGGTCTGTGGAGGGAGCTCAAGTCCAGATCCAATCCCTATATGGTAATCCAGTCCCGCATCTCCGTGCCTAGTTCTGTGCTTGGAGCTGAGAATGTACAATAGAAATGACTCAAACCTAGCTTCTGCCTTTACAGACCTTGAGTTCCAGTGTGTGACCTTAAACAAAGGAGGGCAATAAAGCATTGTCGGGTCGTGGGCTGCACCAGTGGGCACAGAGGAAAGGAGCTTGTCAGTAAAGGCCAGCGGCGGGGAGGCGGCCCAGAGGGACCCCAGCCCAGTTCTCACCCTGTGTCTCTCCCTCTGCTAAATGGGCCTGGTATATTCCAGCCCTTGAGCTGAGGGTGAAAGATCTGTGTCCTGGTGGCTGCTTTGTGACCCTTGAACCGCTCCCCCTCCTGGTGGGATTTGGAATAGCACTGCTCAGCCCCCCGTCACGTGGAGACTGGGATGCTTCTCACTGAGCCCGCAGTGCCCTGGTACTGGAAAAGCCCTACAGAGCTTACGTAACCATCCTCTACCCCCGGCAGGACAGCACCAAAGTCACAGCAGACAAAGAATCTCCCGTCTCCTCACCCAGGCCCCGCCACCAGGGCTCTAGAGCAGCTTGTGGACATCTTGGTCACTGTCCTTTGCTGTGTCAGAGGGGCAGGCATCACTACTGAGGTGCTATGAGAGCCGTTCAGAGCTGCAGCGCAGAGGGGCTGGAGCTGAAATTAGATGTATGGAAGCAAGGGGCACTCAGTTCCCTAAACGCGAGGCTTGTGTGTGCCATCAGTGGGGGCCAGCAGGTAGAGGGGAGCGGGGTGCCCGTGTGGTCAGAGTGCAGATCCCTGAAAGAGCACAAAGCTGGACACCAGAGCCAGATCTGCGGCCCAGCTCTGCCACTCACGAGCCCGTGTGACTCTGGGTAAGTCACGTGACCTCTCTGGGGCACCTGTTTCCTTAGTCTGAAAAGCGTTCTGTAATACCCATCATAATGACTTACTGGCATTTTGGTGCACATGTAAAAATCATATAATCAGTATCATCCTAGGGACTTGAAAGCCAGGGTTGAACCTGGCGGGACAGGAGGGCTCATCTACCTGCTTCCTGACGCAGTGTGTGCGGTGCTTCCACTCCACCTTCCCCATCCTCTGATTACTCTTAAGGGACAGAACAGGAAAGTGGGTGGGAGGGTCCACACGACCCCAGCAGGCCTGTGTTCTGATGTCATTGCAGATGGTGGAGAGCATGAAGTACCCCTTTCGGCAGGGCATGCGGCTGGAGGTGGTGGACAAGTCCCAGGTGTCACGGACCCGCATGGCTGTGGTGGACACGGTAATCGGGGGTCGCCTACGGCTTCTCTACGAGGATGGCGACAGCGATGATGACTTCTGGTGCCACATGTGGAGCCCCCTGATCCACCCAGTGGGTTGGTCAAGGCGTGTCGGCCATGGCATCAAGCTGTCAGGTTAGCAGAAGTCCCTGGCCAGCGAGGGCACATCTCTACACCCCACAACTATGCTGCACGGTAGAGGCGATCATCTCTACCATGCGGATGGCAGGACTTGACCAAGTATCCCGGGAGGTTGAGTGCCTTGACTGAGGATACTCAGGTTGAAGTGTTAAAAACTGGTTTGAAACTAGAGGCTATAGGCCACATCCTTTCCATGTGATGTGGGAAGAGTCTGGGTCCTAAGGGCTGAATAGTTCCTACAGAGACCTTCTGGTCTAGGGGGCACATTTCTGGGGGAGGCGTGGAGATGGCCCTGTTAGCAGCTTCACCTTCCTTTTCTCCCTTCCTCCCTCTGCCATTTCCCTAAAAGAGAGGCGCAGCGACATGGCCCACCATCCCACTTTCCGGAAGATCTACTGTGATGCTGTTCCTTATCTGTTCAAGAAGGTGAGGCACAGCCCTTGGGCACTGTCCCCTTGGCCACAGGTCTACTCCAGGCCTGCGGACCCCAGCTCTTCCCTGGGATGTCCCTTTCCCTCCCCACTTCCTTCCCAGGCCGATGGCAGATGAGGCCTGCTTTCCCACCTTCCCTGGGCCAGCCCGGAGATTCCCCAAGTGCCCCGTTCCTTTAAGGTTCGAGCTGTCTACACGGAAGGCGGTTGGTTTGAGGAGGGGATGAAACTGGAAGCCATTGACCCCTTGAATCTGGGCAACATCTGCGTGGCAACCATCTGCAAGGTGAGCCTGGGGGAGCCTCCAGTATGGCTTTCTGCGGGCATGGAGGTGGCAGAGCTTCCCAGTTCTCGCTGCTCCTGGGCTACCTGCTTTCATGTCAGGGTCAGAATCTGCTTTCGTGTCAGGGTCAGAGGTGCGTTGGACAGGTGCTTACTGAACACCTGGCCTGAGCCTGTCCTGGGTCAGGTGTAGGTTTCCCTGCTGCCACATGCCATCTCCTTTGAGTGCTGACCTAGCCAAGCCATAGCCGGGCTGACTTCACTGCAAACCTCTGTTATTGCTGCAGCCTGAAGAGCCAACAGCCACCCTTCGGCCCTCCAGGGGGTTTTGCCAATTTATCCATCCAGCAGATCTCCAGGCTGGGCCCGTGTGTCCACTGAGAACACACTGACAGGAAGACAGATGCAGTTCCTGCGGGCACAGCATCTGCTATCTAGTGAGGAGGCTAAATGATCTCACGAGTGGGGGTTACACCAGTGCTGAGTGCTCTGAAGCAGCTCGGGGAAGGCTGAGAACCAGCTCTGGTTGGATCCATCCACCTTGCATCCCCATCGTATCACCTCACCCTGGGATGGGGGTGCAGTTCAGCATACCATGTTCTGTCTGCCCTCCTCCCCTCCACCTGCTAGGTCCTCCTGGATGGCTACCTGATGATCTGTGTGGACGGGGGGCCCTCCACAGATGGCTCAGACTGGTTCTGTTATCATGCCTCTTCCCACGCCATCTTCCCAGCCACCTTCTGCCAGAAGAATGACATTGAGCTCACACCCCCAAAAGGCAAGACGCGCCTTACAGTTGGGAGGAGCAGGGTGGGGCCACTGGCCCCAATTCCTGGCCAAGCCAGACCCCTGGAGTTTGAAGTCTGTGAGTGGATTGGAGAGGTGACAGAGCTACCCAGGGTCACCACTAGCCCATACTCTGGGCTGGCTCGGCCCCATGGCCGGTATGTGGCTCGGTGAGCAGAGCTCCCACTTGTCCCTTTGGTCAGTGAACAACTTGTACAACAGGACCATGGTCCTAGAGCAGGTACCAGCCTGGGGAGGAGGGAAGAAGGCTGCTGGGGAGACTCCGGGGGGGTCCTGACTGAGCTGCAGGTGCCCCTTTGGCGCTGGGAGAGCTTCCGGGACTCCCTCCCGCTTCCCTTCCCCCCTCCTCACCTACACTTTCCACTCCTACAGGGTATGAGGCTCACACTTTCAGCTGGGAGACCTACTTGGAGAAGACCAAGGCGAAAGCAGCTCCATCAAGACTCTTCAACACGGTGAGGAGACCAATCCTGCCCACTGCCAGCGATGGCAATCCCAACCCCTTCTCTTTTCTTGAGTCTTTGCTACTGAGGTCCGCCACTTCAGGGGAGAAGTCCCAAACTCTGACATGGGCGCTGTGCTGAACAGTTCAGCTGGTCCCTTTCCCAAAAGGGCCAGTGCCTGGGAACAAAATGCAGTGGGATCACTGGTCAGAGGAACCTCCCCCCGCAGGCATGCTCAGCCCTGCTCCCTCCCCCAGGTCTGCCCCGCTGGGGCAGGGCCCTGGCTGGCTTGGTCATTGCCTTTGTTCCCCCTCCCAGGACTGCCCCAACCATGGTTTCAAGGTGGGCATGAAGCTGGAGGCCGTGGACCTCATGGAGCCCCGGCTCATCTGTGTGGCCACTGTGAAGCGGGTGGTGCACCGTCTCCTCAGCATCCACTTTGATGGCTGGGACAGCGAGTATGACCAGTGGGTAGACTGTGAGTCCCCGGACATCTACCCCGTCGGCTGGTGTGAGCTCACCGGCTACCAGCTCCAGCCGCCCGTGGCCACAGGTCTGGGCTCTCGCAGCCCTAAGGGGCTCTTGACTTTCCTCTTCTTCTTCCTTCCTGCCAACCACGCCCCCGCCCCACACCCACCTCATTCTTTGGCATGAGATCGAGAATCTCCTGGACCACTTCTAAGAAAAGAGTGGCCCATTGTCTCCCTCCCTGTCCTGACTTCTCTGTCTCCCTCTCCCTCTGGCCTGCAGAGCTCCTTCCTTGACCTTGCCCACTCTGTCATATGCTCGTGCCCTTGTGCACCCAGGTAAACTCCCTAGGTCCCTCCGAGAGCCCTGGTGATGAGGGTGGGAAGAAGGGACAGCTGTTGTCCAGTCCCTCTCTGCAGCCCCCTCCCCGTTCTCATTGCCCAGCTTTGGCTTTCCTTCTGGGGGTGTCCCCTGTGTCAGGGAGGCCGGTGAGGGGCGGACAGGAATCTTGGGGTGTGCCTACAGCCTGTGTCCTCTCAGAACTCTCTCCTCACCTCTTCTCCATACTTTCAACAACAGAGCCTACCACGCCTCTGAAAGCCAAAGAGGCCACAAAGAAGAAAAAGAAACAGTTTGGGAAGAAAAGTAAGTGATGCTCTAAAGCTACCTGGGATCAGCTGAGCCTGTGTCCCTGGGAGTGGAGGTGGGGTGTCGCCACCTAAGTCGCGCTCTTCATGGTCCCGCCCTCTCCTTCACCCCTTGCCCCACGGGCCCAGCCATCAATCACCCTGTGTCTTCAGGGACCCAGAGCGTAAGTCTTCCATCTCTGGCAATGGTCAGGATACCGAGGAAAAGAGACGAGACTATTTGGGGTGTAGGGAGGCCATGTGTAGAGGCCATGCTTGAAAGTAAAAGGTACCAAAGGAAACGGGTGCAAGTTGCTCCCTGAGGCTGTCGTCGTTCCCTCATGACCCCCAGGGAGTGGGAGGAAGGGCGGCCACTGATCTTGGGGACCTCTCCACAGACAGGCCCATTCTCAGCAGGCCCCAAGCTGAGCTGCAGGCCAGTGCGGTGAGGTGGGCTTCCTGACGTGGTATCATGCAGAGGAGAGGATGTCCTGAAGGGAACAGAGAGGAAACAGTGTGGTCCCGAGGCAGGATTAAGATGCTGTGAGGGTGTGGAGGCGACCAAGTGGTAGGACCCTGTGCCGTTCAAAATGTAGGGCTGGGATTCACACTTCAGACATGAAGAAAGCGAGGATCCGAAAAGGGAAGCTTAACCATGGCGGCGAGTCGGGGGAGGTGGGTGTCAGTCCCTTGCTGGAGGCAGCCTCTGAGCCGCAGGCACACAGCCCTGGGGGCTGAGGTCAGAGTTGGGGCCTCTGTCCTCCCAAACTGGCACTTTCCCCTCTGCTGTGCTGCCTGACCACTGGGCAAGACCCAGCCTTCGTGCGTCACGTGGATGCATCCCTATCCCGGATTTAATCGTGTGTTTATTCAAAGGAAAAAGAATACCACCAACCAAGACCCGGCCCCTCAGACAGGGGTCCAAGAAGCCCCTGCTGGAGGACGACCTGCAGGCGGCAGAGAAGATCTCGTCGGAGCCCGTTCCTGATGAGAGTAAGAGCCTCCCACGCGGGGTCGAGGTTGGGGGCGGCTCCGGTGCTCAGAGGCCGACCCCCTCCTTCCCCACCTGGGCACAGAAGAGTAGAGTCAAGTTTGAAGGGAAGTTTCTGGGTACCAAGCAACCCTTCTCAGACCACTGGGCCTGGAGGGCTTCCCAAACACCCACCCCCAGCTCTGAATGGAGCCAAGCGTCTCGCATGGCCCTCTCCACCTCATGTGCTTGGCAGGGTGGGCAGCCTGCCCGGCTGGGGTGACGGGACCCTAGGCCTTCTGTGCTGCCTGCCCCCACAGAGGGGGAAGGGGCTCCCCTTGCCGTGTCCTGAGGGCCCGTCCGTAGGAAGCCTGATTTCTTCCCCAGATCCTGAGGCCGCGCCCTTCCCGGAGTTACAGGCACACTCTCTTCTCCCTGCCCCCCACCTCTCTTCCTCCTCAGTCATTACCGTGCGTGTAAAGGAAGAGCATCTCGACGTGGCCACGCCTGACAAGGCCCCGAGTCCAGAGCTGCCCGTTCCCATCGAGAACATCAAACAGGAGACAGGTGACTGAGACTTCCTCGTTGCCTGCCCAGCCACCCAGCTGGCAGCCAGCCCAGGGCGCCTCGACTGCCACCACCCCTCCACCCCACTTTCCTCTGGAGACTGAGCCTTTCTGCGTGAGCGCTGCCTGGTGCTGTGGGCGCTGGGCAGCGAACGAACACCCAGGGTCTCCCGGACCCGCCCTGTTGCCTCTGCCCCCTCCCGGGCAAGGCCGGCGTGACTAGGGCTGCTGAGACCCACAGACTCGCCTGTGAGCAGCTCCCTCTCCAGCTGGAGTTCCCGAAGCTCTTCCTTACCAGCGTCCATCCACGCCCACCATGTCCCTCAACTGCCAGGGGTGAGGGGCCGCACACTGGAGGACAAGTTGCTTGGTGGGGGGGGGGGGTGAGCTCAGCGCACGCGCGCGCCTCTGTGTGTGTATGAGCACATTCAGCGTGTGTGTGTATGTGTGTTCGAGCACACACATCCCCTGAGAGGGAGGCTGCCACCAGCATTGAACTTAACCCGCTCTGGAGCCCAGGGGGGCTAGGACCTGTCCTTTTCATTCTCCTGTTAACCAGAGACGGGTCTGGCCCTGCCAGAAAGTCACAGGGCCGCGATAGAGTTGGGTGGTCAGCCCTGCTGGCTGAGGTGGCCCTGGAGGAGCTCCTGGAGGAAGGAACACACTTCCTGGCTCGTTTTCCTCACTGTTAGTGTCCTTAACTCCGTAACATGTTTTGAATCCCCTTCTCTCTAAAGTACCTTCTAGAAGTTCATCTAACATCTGCCCAAATTTCAGCTGCTTTCTTTCCCCCAGTTAGTCTCCTTTGAAACTGTCTCCTCCCTCTGATCCATCCTCTCTTCAAGAGACCCTCTTCCTGGAACCTAAGGTGATGGCAGGTGCTGTCCTCAGCCCTTTTCTTTCCTTCTACATGTTTGGGTAGTGACGGCACGGCAGTGTGGGTCCCTGTGTCACCCCTTTAAGGGCTGCAGCTGTGCCGGGCGGGTATCTGGCTTCCTGGACTGTCAGGTGCTTGTCAGATGGGGTGCTGACCGTGGATGTGCTCAGGACCCAGCTGTTGGGTGTCATCCCAGAGATGGGGTGACCAGCCCAAGGGGAGCTGATTTCCTGTCAATTCAAAGAGAACTTGATCCTTTCTCCTTTTCTAAAGACACTCTGCAGGCCCACATGGTATAGAAACCAGGCCCAGAAAGCACCCTCCTGCAGCCTGAGTTCCCCAAAACATGACTAGGTGTGTGTGGAACACAGTGACGACCAAGGACGGGGCAGGTCCCAGGAAAGAGGGACCATGCCTGACCCCACCCCCATTTCACACACACCAGACTTGAGTGGTGATGGGTCAGTCAGTGGCATCAGCTCCCAGGGGAGGAAGGTGGCATGTGTGTGCACTTCAGCTCTGCCTTTGTTGAGGGTAAACTGCTCAGCTGAGACTAATTCATCGTCCCCGATGCTCTTGCCGTTAATGGATCCAGTTCTGACTGAAGAGCTTCTAGGAAAACAGGACTTGTATGGCATTTTGGCCTTCGGTTGCTTCTTCCTGAATGGAGAGGTGAAGCCTACAGGTGCCGTGAGCACAACAGGCAGAGCTGGAGGGCACGATTAGCTGCCGTTGCGGCCCTGGACTGGCCTCCCATACTTAACTTGCATGAGACAATTGAATCCCTTTCTTGCTGAAGTCCAATTTGTCAGCGTTCTGTTCTTAGAGCGAGAGTGCGTTCTGATATGCCACCCGACGGTGTCAATTATGAAAACTGGGTGAGTTCACACATGAAGAGTGCAGAACACAAGTGTCATCTGTCATCTCCGGAGCTCCCCGTCTCCATAGCAACAACATGCTATATTCTCCTTATTTATGTTTCAGCCATTCCCCTCCCAAAACCACAGGTTCCAGAAAGCCCAAGTATGTGACAAAGTGTACATAACGTGTTGCTGGGACCTAGAGGTTAATTTGTTACAGATGGAAGTGTTGACCTCTGGGACATAATAGCTCAAGGCACAGAATGAACCTTGTTCCTCAATTGCCCTTGGATGGAACCAGGTCTCGAAGTCTCACAGCAGCAGGGCCACCTGATGGCTGGGAAATATCCTAAAGAACAGAACCACTTCCACTCCCTGCTCCCACTGCTTGACAGCCTGCAGCAGCTCCCTGGTGCAGATTAGGCCACGTGCAAACACCTTCCTTTACTATCACCCCCATCTGGATCCTCAGCTCTGCTTGAGGGACGGGAAGCAAGGGCACTACCATTTGTGATAGCCTCATATGACAGGCACTAGTGTACAGGCGTTCACACGGCTCGCTTCATCTTCACAGTAATCCCGTGAGGACGCGCTGACTCATTTTATGCATAAGAGACAGAGGACTCGTTAAAGTTCAGTAACTTGGTGGCTTGACAACTGTTAAATGACAGCAGTGGGAGCAAGCCCAGGCTCATCTGCCAGGTGCCTTCGGCCAGGCAAGTCCCCCAGCCCAGAACACCCTGCCAGGGCTCAGGGCCCTTATCCTTCTTCGATGTCTTGGTATTCCTGGGAGGAAGCTGCCACCTTCAACAAAGTAAAAACAAAAAGCCTGTTTGGTGGCGTATCTCCGTGTCAGAAAGGGTGGTTGGATGGGGTGGCCCGCGAGGCCCCATTCCTGTTGCAGCTACGAAATGTGGGATTGGCGTGCGGGTCTTTCAATGAGAGTCCAGACCTGGAGGTGAACCTGTCGGGGCTGCTGCTCCCGAGTCAAGCTCAGCATCCACGCCGGTTCTGTTCATCACAACTCCCGGCAGAAAGCGCCGCCCAAGTGTTCGCCGAGTATGGCCGCCGTCATCGACCCTGGTTCCAGGTCTCGCTTCTAAGGCCGAATGCTCACCTTCAGCCTGGGGTCTTTTTAGGGGTTCTTCCTCACTCCCAGCCGACCTCCACAACGAACACTGTTTCGGGTTGAATTAAGTCCCCACGAAAAAGATACACCTCAGAATAAGGCCTTATTTCGAAATAGGGTCTTCACAGAGGTGATCCAGTTAAAATGAGGTCATTAGGGTGGGCCCTGATCTAATGACTCGTGTCCTCATAAAAAGGGGGAATTTGGACACGTCCAGCAGGAAGACGATGTGCAGAGACACGGGAAGACATCATGTGACGGTGGAGGCAGGGACGGGGCTTGTGCTGCCACAGCCAAGGAACATCTGGGGCCCGCGGAGGCTGGACGGGGCACAGAAGGACCCTCGCCTCGAGGCCTCAGAGGAAGCACAGCCCCGCCAGCACTCTGATTCCAGGCTTCTAACCTCCACATCAGTGAGACAATACATTTCTGTGGTTCTGAGCCACCCAGCTTGTGGTAGTTTGTGGTACTGCAGCCCTAGGGAGCTAATACAAACACCACCTGATGGTCCCTAGGTGCCCCAACTCTTCAAGCTGCAGGTCCAGAAGCAGGCAGAGCCCTCTCCCCTCCTTCCCAGAGCCCACCCTGTTCTGGTCACGGCTTTCCTCTAAGGTCTGCCTCCCCTACATCCCCTCACCACCCAGCACGGGTCGCCACGTGGAGGGGTGCCCATGTCCTGCCCACTCTTCTCTGATGACCTGTGAGATTTTGCTACAACTGAGCGTTCCAGTGTGAATGGGTTTGTCCGGACAGCAAACGTAACGTCAAGGGGGTGATGGAGTCCGACCCGTGGCACCAACCACACACCTGCACTCCTGCTCTTCCCGCCCCAGGGATGAGCGAGGCCCCCAAGATCAGGTGGGGACAGGCTGAATCAATGGCAATCCAGCAGTAACAGTCACTGTGGGGTTCTCATGGATACCTAGGGTCCTGGGATGCTGCAGCTTAATTGGAAAGGCCATTGTCCCATGGGATGAAACAGTCATTTCCTTACAAACCCACTCTGGGCTTAGCCCAGAGGTGGAGGAGGTAAGGAGAGGGGGATAGACATTTTTTAACGGAAGCAACAGGGTCATTACCCAGATCTAGAACCTCATGAAATTGGGACCAAGACAAGTCAGATCCCTGCTACCCCAGGGGCTTTAAAACCTGACCCACCCAGCGAGGCCTCCCTGCACCTGCCCCCAACCAACCTTGTTCGCTCCCTGCCGTCTTCCCTTCATGGGGGTCCTCTGGGCACTAGGCCTGGGGGCCGGCGTCCGCTTGGCCTTCCCGGCAGCCCAGCCCGGGCAGGCTTCAAAGACAGCAGCTGCAGCCTTCACGCTCTGGCCACGGGCACTGGGAGGGGCGGCACAGGCGGCCCCCACGTGCAGGTTCAGCCCAGTGAGCCACCTGAGGAGAAAAGGGGGTTCGGGGAAGCTGCTGTGCTGAGCTTTCCTGAGGAGAGCGAAGAGGTCCTCAGTGATGTGGGGGCAGTGGGACTCGACCACTCACCAATTATGTGACCCTGAGCAAGTCATTTCAACCTTCAATCCCCTCCCTGTAACAGGGGACCAGTAATAAACAGTTCCAGAGGGCTGAAGACCCAGACGCTGTTCAATCTAGATAAGCTATCTAATTTAATGTAATTCTTAAGACCACCACCAGGAGGTGGATGCAATCGCTATCATCCCCTTTCCAGATGAGGGGCCGGCACAGAGAGGCCACATGGCTCAAAGGTAAAATGGTCAGTCACAGACGTGGATTTGAGCCCACGTCACCAGACTCCACGGTTCTTGTTGCTTTCTTAGGCAATGACGTAAAGTGCTCTCACACATTTACTAGGTCCCACCCCACTAGGCTGGGCAGATTTCATTCCCACTTTATAGATGAGGGAACAGGGGCTCAGAGAAGCCCACCCAAGCCCCGTGGATGTCTGGCTCCCCCAGGAAGGGTAGCTGGCCCTGGAAGGATCCTCGCCCGCCAAAGGAGCTCAGATGGCACCAGGGCTTGACTGAGAGCAGCTGCTGGGTCCCCAGCTGGGGCCTTCAGTTGGGGGTGCTTACCTGTGAAGTGGGAGCAGCTGGCAGTCACAGTGGAAGGGATTGCCACTGAGGTCGATGAGCTCAAGCTGGCTGAGACCAGGCAGGGCGGGCAGTGCCTGCAGCTGGTTCTTTTGCAGATGTAGGCTCTGGAGCCGAGGCCCCAGGCCCAAGAAGGCCCCCGGAGAAATCTGCAAGAAGGCGCCAGGCCCTGGTGTGAGCTCCTGCCAGGCCTGTCCCACCCCCAGGTCTGGGAGGGAGCCTCATGCTCCCCGTGCAGAAGGGGAGTAGAGAGCCCAAGATGGGCAGGAAGGGCAGTGCTGGGGTGGAAACCCAGGTTTTGCCAAAGCACGTGCCCTTTGCAAGTCACACAGACCCCCAGTCCATGGTTCTTTCTGCTATGCCTGGACCCCCACATATTGGCAAAGCTGTGCCCACAAAATGTGCAACAGTAGGTAACCCCACGGATCCACGTTCCTCCCTCCTCCAGGCCTCGGCAGTGCCCTCCCTGCCAAGCCCCTCCGTGTGGCACAGCATTCCTCCTGGTCTGCGGCCCACATCTGAGCTCCCTGGGGCAGGCGCAGGGTCGGGCTCATCTCAGGGACCCCACGCCCAGCCTCGGGCCTGGCACTGCAGGGGCGGCAGTGTTGGTTGAGTGAACGCAAGCTGCGTAGACCCTCGTGCTGCCTCCCCTCACCCCTGTTCCCCGGGTGCCCACCTGCTCCAGGCCACTGCTGTTCAGGAAAAGGTGTTGCAGCGAGCGGCCCACGGGCCAGAAGGCCCCATCTTGCAGGGCCCTGAGCGGGTTCCCCGAGAGCTGCAGCTCCAGGAGGGCAGGCAGCCCCTCCAGGGCCGCAGTGGGCACCTCTCGCAGCTGGTTCCTATCCAGATGCAGCTTCTCCAGCTCCTGAGCGGGGCCCAGTGCCCCGGGGGACACTTGGGTGATGCGGTTCCCACTCAGGTAGAGCCAGCGCAAGGCCCGCATGCCTGCCAGGTCCCCCAGTGCCAGGCGGTCCAGAGCGTTGTCCTGCAAGTGCAGGGAGAAGAGGCTGGGCAGGGCGCGCAGGGCGGCCCCTGGCACCTGCAGGAAGCGGTTGCGCTCCAGGTACAGGTAGCCCAGGCAGGGCGCCCCTTTGAGGGAGGCAGCGCTGAGGCTGGAGAGCGTGTTGTCCGAGAGGTAGAGGTAGAGCAGGCTGCCCAGCCCCGCCAGGGCGCCTGCTTCCAGCTCTGTGATGCCGCAGTGCTGCAGGTGCAGCGACACCAGCTGGCCCAGGCCCGGGAAGGCCTCTCGGGGCACCAAGGGGAAGTGGTTCTGCCTCAGGTCCAGGAGCTGGGTGTCGTTGGGGAAGCCGCGGGGCACGACCTGCAGGCCGCGGCCCTCACAGCCGCTGTGCCGGGACTCAGGGGCGCACACGCAGGCGCGAGGGCAGGGCCCGGGCGCCCCAGCCTTCTCCTTGGAGGTGCCGGCAGGGACACGGGGCCGCGCGGCCGCCACCTCCTCCTCTTCCTCCTCCGCCCCGGCTACGGGGCAGCGCAGGTCCGAGGGCCGCAGGGCGTCCAGGGCCTCGCCGCGCAGGCGCCGCGGCTCCCCGCACGCGCCGTCCGAGCGCACGCGCGCACGCGCCAGCCACTGGAGCAGGGGCCGAGCCCGGCAGTCGCACCGCAGCGGGTTCCCATGCAGCCGCAGCCGGCGCAGCTGACCCGGGCCCTGCAGCGGCTGCAGGGCATCCAGCTGGTTCCCACGGAGGTCCAGGGTGTGCAGGCGGGGGCAGTGGGCAAAGGCCCTGG